TTTTTTTTTTTTTTTTATGCCTCTTAATTTAGTTTTGGTTTTGATCTTTTTCAGGATGTGGTGGATACACACCCCGGGCTTACGTTCCTGAAAGATGCTCCAGAATTCCACTCCCGCTATATCACCACGGTAGGCTGTCTTAGTACAGCTCTGTAATGCATCTTTCCATCATTTGTGTGTGATTATGTGTGTGCTGGGGATCAAGCCCAAGGCCTCATGCACATTAGTCAAGTGCCGTACAACAGAACTAAACCCCAAGCCTGACCTTTCTGCTAGAGTTTATTCAGGCTATAATGATTATTTTAAGTGGAAGAAAGACAGGAAAAAATTGAATTAATGATTTCTTTATTTGTATGCGTTTCTCTTATATGTGTCCAGTGCTTGAAAAAGATTGCTTACATAAACAAAAAGTAATATACTCATTCTGTCTGGATTTAAAAGGTATTCTTTTACTATTATTGATATCCAGTTGATCTTTAGCATTTTCAAATAATACTGAAAATAATTTTTAACAGTTTGTCCCAGAAAAAAGATGTGTCTCTAGCATCTCAAAGTTTGAACTAGAGTAGTAAAAGATAGTTTCTGTGTAAACAAATGAAATCTTGTATGAATCCAGAATAACTACAGTTCCCTGCTTTGTGAGGTTTTCTCTTCCTGTGTCTAAGGTACAGTCTCACTGGCTCCATGACAGGCGGGGCATAACCACATGTGACAGTACGTAACAGGGCTGCAGTGCCCACGGCAGCTGTTGTGTGCATTCTCTGCCCCCCCCCCAGATTATTTTCTGGGGCATCAAAAGCTCTAGGAAGCACTCTGCCATTCTGAGGGTACAGCTGTACCATGTTATAAAATACTAGTTTTTATTTTATTCTCCTATAAAACCTCATTCTTTGCTTTTCTCTTGGCTTCCTTTTGTTATTATAAAACTTTGTTAAGATTTTGTGTGAGGGGCTGGTGAGATGGCTCCGTGGTCTAAAGCACCTATTTAGAACAAGCTTAGCAAAGCACAGGGACCGCGGTTCAATCCCCAGCACCACATGCCAGCCAGCCCCACCCCCTGGTGGGCTGAACTGGCTACACACAGACATACACAAATAAATAAAAATTTAAAAAATATATATATATTTTTTTAAAAAAAGATTTTGTGTGAGCCAGAAGGTGTCACTGTCATCATTAATCATAACCACTTCATAAATTACCTTCACCACAATCACCCTGGCCTAGTCACCCTTGTTCCTTATTTGGATTACTTCAAATTTCTGAAGTCTTTCTGCTTCTGCCTCATTGTTTTATAGTCTACAGTCATTGCCTAAAGCAAAGTTAGTCTTTAAAAGTGTAAATCATATCAGTCCTCCTCCATTCACACCTCTCTATGGTTTCCCATCTCAATAAGAATGAAAGCCATAGTCCTTGCCAAGACTGCTCTCCTCACCCCGCCTTCACAGTTCTGCCTTCAGATCTGCCTTCTTTTTTGTTTAATTTTATTTTATTGATAAATATCAATGAGACAGTTTCAAAACTGATTAATAGGACAGTTTCAATAATTAATACATTGTACATTGTTTTCTTAGCGGTTATCCATAGTACAAGATGCAGACAGAATATCCTATCCAAACACTATTAGTACAAATCTTTCTTCTCATTGAATTAAGTGAAAGTAGCTGTATATATATCCTAACTATTCTGCGTATACAGATACAAAATGGTCCTTTCTTTGTATCGCGTTTTTTTTGTTTAGTCCAGTCAGAATGGGTATTCCATTGGCATCTAAATACTATAGGTGCATGAATTCAGCAAAACAATGCAACACAGTCCAGCAGTCCACAATAGTAGTGGGTTATCCACAGAAGTTGTTGACTTGAGCCTTTCACAGCTCAGCATATTAATATGGCTTTACTTTATATACCTCATTTTTATACTTTTCTGCTGGATGGTTAAGACCAAGGTAAAGCAAGACCTATATAACAAGAAATATAACTCTTGTATATGATAAAGTCAGTCAAGTACCCTCAGGATTTATCCTGTAACCCTGTACCGCAATTTGCTGATCCTTAGTCAGTGTCAGCCATGTGGATGAGTCACGGCCATTGCTTGACCAATTTGCTCTCTGTGAAAGCCTGAGAGAATGTTTTTGTCTCGATGTGACTCTCCTTAGGCACACTCTACGTCATCGATCACATTGCTCTGTGGCCCCATAATCTCCTTGATCAGAAAATTTGGTTTCTTCTGTCCTGAGTATAGTTTCTTCTGTCCTGAGTCTTCACTGACCTTAAAAGGCTAGGGGGCCGGGGAGATGGCTCAGTAGAATAAGCACTTGCCTGGCAAGTGCAAGGGTCTGAGTTCAATCCCTGGTTCCTCAAAAAAAAAAGGCTAGGGCCAAAATGTTGGCTGTCCTTGCAGTCCTTTAGTTCTCTAATTTTTGGTCTGCAAACTTTGGTTATTAACCCTCCAGAAGAGAAGCTTATTATTACCCTACAACTTATGCAGCTGGGTTTAACTTCACTATCTATGAATTAGAGAAATAGAAGGGCTGCAAGGACAGCCAACATTTTGGCCCTAGCATTCAGATGTCTGAATATCAAACATCTTAAGCATAACATGGAACAGGTATTTTCCGTCAAGTATTGATATGTTAAACATTAGGTCCCTACAGAACATGGAGATAAAAATTTAAAAAATGAAAAATATTTAAAGAATATGAACAATTACATATTTTTACACAGAAATTTAGAAATCTAACCATATACAGCATTGTAGCAGGACAGTTCTGTGACTTGTTTTTTCTTTTTCTTGTGTCTTTTTTTCATTTATTACCCATTTTAAAGAAAAAAAAAACTTTTACTTGTGAGACAGTATGGAAATAATTGGTATGTCATGATGAGAAGTGTGTGTTTAGAAGACCAGAATGACAGGCTTCTACTTCCCTCCCGTTCTTCCCTACTAAGAAAACCAAACCCGTGTCTCCCTCAGGCACTTCGTTGCTCTTGTTCCTCTTCTACAGATTTCCCCCAAGCTCATGCTGTTCCCCCTTCATCCAAATTTGGTCAGATCTTCCTTGACCACTCTATCTTCTTGACCCCTCTTCTTCCTTCTCTGCTCCCTTCCCCACACTCAATTCCCTTGTCCTGTTTTTTCTTCTTATCAAGTATTTAAATATTTATTCTCTATCACCTTCTCTATATAAAAGAGAACAACAAGTTTGTATTTTCACTGTTCTATGCTCAGTACTAGAATAGTGCCTGACATATAACAGACACATTAAATACTTATTGAGTGAACAAGTGAAATTGTTCTTGTTGGAAAATTCTGCATGAGCTGTGCTGCAATCCTAAAGAGAATTATTAGATCTAGTTATAGGCTGTTCTGTAAAATCAGGGCACCATAGCAGCATAATTTAGAATCTTAAGTTAGGGACAGCCTTAGAAATAATGAAGTACAACAACCTTGTATCAATTCAGAAAATGTTCCCTAAGGAAGAATTTCTTACTGGAATTCATTCTTTTAAAAAATATTAATGAGAAAAATGAAACAGAGATAAAATATCTTTATCTGTTCTTTCTGTTTGGTAAATCAGGCCAACAGTGGTCTGTGGTAACCTAACAAGTAGTCCACAGGAACTCTTAACAATTTTGAAGTGAAAACCATGAATCAAATTTTATTCATCTTTAATTCACACTTTTAAAGGCTTTTGCCATGTTAATCATTAAACAGGGTGAGGGAGATAGCTTGGCAGTCTAAGCACCTGCCTGGCATGCCCAAGGATCCAAGTTCAATCCCCAGTACCACGTGTGGTGCTGGGCCCAGAACCAGGAGTGGTGGTGCATGCCTGTAATTCCAACACTAGGGAGTCTGAGACAAACTGGGCATGGTGGCGCACACCTATAATCCCAGTGCTGGGGAGGCTGAGACAAGAAGATCACTATGAGACTGAACTGCGCAGCAAAACCCTGTATCAAATAAACAAACAATTTTTAAGAATGTTTTTAAATCACTAAAATTTTTAAACAGTCTGGTGAATTGATAGAATATAATTAATTATCTCAGATGTCAATAGTCTTCATGTATTTTTTCATGTTACTGTTTACATCTGTTAAATTTACTTTGTTAATGTTATACTGCTTTATCCCTATTGCATGAAAATGAATTTCTCAGAAGTAATCATTAAACTGTAATATAGTTGGGGGGCTGCCCATTAGCTCAGGTGTTTAAGTGCCTGCTGAAATAAAGCAGCGAGGCTCAGGGTGCTGTGGTCCGATCCCCTCATTCTCAAGCCAAACCACAACTGCCCTGAAGGCATCCTGAGTGCCCCCCCCAAAAAAAAATCCTTGTGGGGCGGGGGAGATGGCTCAGTAGAATAAGCACTTGCCTGCCAAGCGCAAGGGCCTGAGTTCAATCCCCGGTTCCGCAAAAAAATAAAAATAAATAAGTAATTGTCCAGGCTGGGCTTAAACTTGCTATCCTCCTGCCTCAGCTTCACAGAGTGCTGGGGTTACAGGTGTGTGTGCCATCATGCCCAGCTTGGGCCATATTAAACTGTAACATACTTGTCATGAAATAATATAACAAATTAAAACAGCATGATAATAATAGTAAACAACAGCCAAATGGGAATATGGAATATGAATCTGTATGTTCTAAGTGAATGACTAACGTGATAATCTCCTGTTAGTATCCAAAAAAGAAAAGCACAAATAAAAAGTAGAACAAAAATATTTGGAATAGAATTTTACCAGACTAGTTACCTGTTCTCTCCAGTGTCTTTGTTATTATAAAACTTGATCAAATAATATCTTGAAGTCATTAGGCTTTGTATTATTTTAAAGTACAATAAGTTTTTCTAGAAGAAATGTAAAATAAGGCCCTTCAATATGAAGTTGACTAGTTTAATATTAGGTATAAAAGTAATAACTAAACTAAAACATTTGCTACCCTGGTCATTGGAGAAAAATAAGATCATACTATTTCTAAAAATTAATGACATATATCTCAGAAAAGTAAAGTCATTTTTTCATATAATCTTATTGAATCTCAGTGTCTTACAGTGAAAAGTATGATATATAGGTTAAGCTTCCCTAAACCAAAAATATGAAATCTGAAATATCCACACTCAAAATGTTTCAGATTTTGTAGTATTTCATATTAGGGATACTCACCCTAATAGATGTTCTAAAATCTGAAACACTCCAAGATCTGAAACATTTCTGATATTGAAACCCCTTGAATAAGGGGTACTAACTTGTATTACATTTGCATATTAGAATACATCAGTTACTTTAAAGTTAGATGTATGCATGACTCAAATATTATGTGTGGTACATGATGAACAGAACTTGAACAACTTGTATTTTCTAATGATATATGAAAGCCTGTGCCATAACTAGAGGTAGTGGTTCATGCTTGTAATCCTAGCTGTTTGCAAGGCTTACAAGGCAAAAAGCTCACAAGTTGGAGGTTAGCCTTAGCAACTTAGTGAGATCTTGTCTCAAAATAAAAAATAAAGTTCTGGGGATGTAGCGCAGTGATAGAGCTTTCACCTAGCATGGATTTAATCCCCAGTACTGTAAAAAATAAAGAACAACCTGTGCTACCAAAAAAGACTGTTTATTTGTCTGTTGTTTTTTGACTGGAAAGACAGAACATGAGCTAAATAAATGATTTCATCAAAAGTCCATATTAATCTCCATTATTTCTGGAGTTCACAATTCAGAAGTAAGCCTCTTGATAATGAAAATGAAACAGCAGAAAATTCTAGTACTTTTGTAGTTATACAATTGTAGTTGTATAATTTTTTATATGAATTGCCAACTGGTACCAGCTAGTTGTACAATTGTAGTTTTGCATTCTGTGCAAAGAGCACCAATGAATAAAAGGCTTTGCTTGTGCAAACTCTTGTAAGCCAGATCTCAAGGGGAATGTTACTCACCAAAGTTTTTTAAAATAAACAATGAGATCTGAAATACTTCCTTACAACCCTGGTGCTAGAAATAAAGATATTTTTGTGGCTTATTCACATGATGTACTCAGTATGTTGATTTGCTTTCATCAATGATTTTAGGCTGAATCACCAGGATTTTAATTGTCCTATACTCATATTTTCTAAGATGACAAACCTGTTTGGCAGAAACTGCTCATCGCTAAGAGCTTATCATTAACTTTGTCCTTGAAATTTTTTCCCCTGAAAGAAAGATACCACTTTTAATAGACACATTTTTAACTTGCCATATTTCACAGAAGACAACAAAGAAATCCTTTCCAGACCATATTAACCACAGGAAGGGTTAGCATTCCTGTTACCTCACCTTACCACATGGAAGAGTGGGGCTTCCAGCACTTGAGTATGTCCATCTGCACGCAGTTTATCTACAGGGAGGACTTCTGTGCCTCTGTTTTGTTTTTTTGTTTGTTTGTTTGGTTGAGGGGTTTTTTGTTTTGTTTTTTGGTTTTTTGTTTTTTGTTTTTTTTGTGTTTTTTTTTTTTTTTTTTGCATTTTAGGGAAGGGTCTACACAGTGTTCAGGATCTCACTACTAGATTGGACTGATAGTTATTCTCCTGTTTACAGCCTCCCAAGAGCTGGGATTACAGGTGCACACTACCACACCCAGTCTCAGTCACCCAGCTCAGTATGCCCCAGGGACAGAGCCAGCAAAGTAAGCCCAGGGATCAAACCCCTGGCCCCTGTGTGCGTCTGTTTAGTCTCCTTTCAAAAACTGTATGACAGAGCCACTGAGTTCTTCCACTCCTGCCTGCCACTATATGTCAGTTAAAGGTTTCCGATTAAATGGATGTATAGAAGTAAGGAAGCTGACTTGCCTGTCAAGCTTACTAGCAATTCATTGATGGAAGACTGTTTCATTCATCTCACTGGTAGTGAATAATCCTAATTATTTATTTCAAGGTTTTTCTTGTATTTTAAAAATTGCAATTTGTATTTGCCTAAAAACTGGAGGATAAAAACTGAACCAGGGGCTGGGGAGATAGCTCAGAGGTCTAATGCCTGCCTGGCAAGCACAAGTACCTGGATTCAATCCCCAGTACCGCCTGCTTTGCCAGCCCCAGAACCCCAGGCATGCTGTACCAGCCACTGAAACCAGGCATGGTGGTGCGTGCTTGTAATCGCAGCACTGAGGAGGCTGAGACAGGAGGATCACTACCAGTCCAAGCTGCATAGTGAAACCCTGTACCCAATAAATAAATAAATGATTTTTTTAAAAAGAGAACCAGCAGTTATGTACTTTTACCACTAGATGGTAGCCCTACCTAAATAATCTAAAATGCTGACTCCGTAAATGTAAAAACCAGAAAATATGCTGATAGAGCCACTGAATAAAGAGATGTAGACTAGGGGAAAATGGAATACGGATATATCTAGTATTAAGTATAGAGTTTAGAAGAAGCTAAAAATAAAAAACACTTAACTGCTCACATTTTAAAAGTTCTGTCAGAACAAAAGCAGGAAAATAATAAAATAAGCAAAAATGAATACAGGTTAAATTTCTATATTAAGTACAAAAGAGTATTTCCAAAAATAATTTAAGTATATAAACATAAGACTTAGGAAGCAGAGTAAATTGAATTTATATTCAAAATCAAGAAAAAGGACAAAGCAGTATGTATATTGAAATTGGCTAACTTGCAGTATAATAGACAAGATTCTTTATGTATAGAATTTCTGTGCTAAAAATCTTCTATCCTTTTTTTAATATGAATTGCCAAGCTGTTGCTAGGACAACTATATTGAGTAAGATACATTCTCTGGCCTCAGGAACCTTAGAGTCTAAGTGAGTGGGGCTAGTACCAGCTAGTCCTGGCTTCTACTCAATATAAAAAGCCTGTGAACTTCTGTCTCAGTACTTGTGAAAAGTACCTCATGACTTCATACAAACCCACTGTTTTGTAGGATTCCTTCTTTTGAAGCATTTGAGTATAAGGGCACTTCCATTCCATGTTTCTAATTCTATCCACTGGTCTAAAACAGAACAAGTCAGCTACTGCTTCTACCTAATAGTCTTTCAGATAATGATTGTATCTACATTTCTCTCATATTTTTCCTGAGGATCAAACATTGCTACATTAGTAGTATCTGTCATAGTCATTTTTAATATACTTACCCTTTCTTGTTTTATGTTTCATACATTTTATATGCTCTCTATCTGTAAATCATAGACAAATGCTAATTTATATGAAATATCAAATTATGTGAAATATAAGGCCTTTCTTGGGGGTTAATATCCTCTGCTACTCAAAACTCTGAATAAATGTCACAGGACTGTCCTGCTACAATGCTGTATATGGTTAGATTACTAAATTTCTGTATAAATATATGTAATTGTTTATTCATATTCTTTAAATATTTTTCTTTTTTTAAATTTAAAAAAAAGTTCTGAATAGAGTTGTTCATTTGTCAAATCTATCCATATTTCTCTGTCACAAACACCACAAAAGTCTTGTAACACAATGTCCATATCTCCTTATTTTATCAAGCCATTATTGGCCTTATTATATGCAAAGCACCAGATTAAAAAATGACTGGAATGGAAGTCAAGGTAAAACAGCTGTTGGCCAGGTATAATTATAGATAGATAGATAGATAGATAGATAGATAGATAGATAGATAGATGGATGGATGTACTCTAGGAGTCTGAGGCAAGAGGACAGTTCAAACCCAACTTGGCTAGCAAGACCTGTCTTCAAATAAAGAGCTGAGAATGTAGCTTAGTGCAAAGGTACTGAGTTCAATCTGTAATGCCAGGAAAACAACACAAAAAAAACTAGATCCCTTAGAATATGGAGTTGATCACACTCAGGTACCCCAGTGTATAGAACATAACAAAACCATGAGAGTGCCTGAGGGAGGCTCAGAGGCAGTGGGGACACAGACGACAGAGGTCTACCCCGTTGCCTACTTTGAGGCTTCCTCTGAAGTGTGGTATTTGAGTTCCATTCTGAAAGGTTCAGAATTAGCACAGACAGCAAGGGTGGGGTGGTAAATGCTGAGCAGCACAAATTGGGCCTTCATCCTGTTTCTGGCTTCCGTTTTATTGAGGATCACTGTTTGCTGAAGAAATCAGAAAAGAATAGTAGTTTAGTCCCTCATTAAGGCCCACCTTTTAGAAAAATGTACAGATGTCTTCCTTTGTTTGTTCTTGCTTTGATTGCTAAAAATGTGTTATGGGCTCCTACCTCCAGGATCTCACCTGCTGTCATCCTGCAGTTATCCTCTGCACTGCAGCACACACATCCCTAATCCAAATGTATTTGCTTCTTATTTCCTTTGCATCCTCTCTCTGGTCTTTTCCAGAGTTTCACTTCTGCCAAAATCATTAAATCACTACCTGATAACAGAGAGGTTCATCCTCAAATAAAGGTGAGGGTATAAAGTATCTCAAATGAACTTAGGCTTCCATATAGTCTGGAAAACCAGAAGTCTTCAAAACTACAATAAGTAAGGTTTTAATAACCTGAATAATGTCTTCTTGAATTACGATGGTCCTCCTTCTTACCCTCTGGTCAGTCACTAAGCCAGCCCAGCAGATGTCTCTTTCCTTATTTGTCATCCCCAAACGTCTAGCCCAATGATGGGGAATCAGACATCCCTGTGGAAGTGAAAAGGAAACAAAAGTGTGTGAGCAGCCAGGAAATGAAGATTTGAGAGTACAGATTTTTTTTTTCTTAAAAGTATAGCAGCAGATTCATAATATATAAATGTAGATTTAAAATGTTTTTGGTGAAAAATACATTTGGCATCAAAAAGTTACAACTGTTGGTTCCAAATTTATTCATAAGATAACCTTTCATAAAATAATAAAGATCAATAATTTTTTATTTGATTTTATTTTATTTTTGATACTAGGTTATCCAGAGAATATTCTACACAGTCAACAGATCTTGGAGTGGAAAAATTACTTCAACAGAGATAAGAAAAAGCAACTTTTTGCAAGTATGCCTTTCATATAAAGATTTAAAAAGCAGTTTAAAGTATTTTATTTCATTTATCAAATATTTGAGCGCTTACCATATGCAGTGGGTTGTCACTACTTTGTCAGTTATGCATTTGTCGAATACCTCTAGTTACACTCCAGATATGGGGCATGCGGTTAACAAGGAATCTGCCTAAGGCATACACTGTGGAACAAAAGGAAGAAGAAACCAAACAGCCACACTAGACTTGATGAATTCTGCAGACATGTATAAAAGGTGCAGAGGAGGTACAGAGGCCTCAGCAAAAGGACAGGCAGGATTTTGACCTTGGAGAACCCCAGTTTACCAAGATTTTTTTTAATTAATAGATTCCAGATAGAAGAAGCAGCATAAACAACAACCAGAAACATGAAAGTATCATATTCAAGAACTGCCAGATGGTATTAAGTGGCCAAAAGCCCTTGGACAGTAACCAGAGACTCTTTATCCAGCTACTGCTAGAGAAGAATACTAAAAATTTCTTCTTAAAAAATAATAAATTTCATTTTATCAAATGAGGGGGAAAGTACTGGCCACTAGTACAAGCTTTTCACTGAAGTAATCTTCATGTCTGATTGCTTAAGCATCTGTAAACCAGAAGAATTGCTCACAATTGAAAGGAAAAGAAATGGTTTATTTTAGGGTTTTTTTGGGTGTGTGTGTGTGTGTGTGTGTGTGTGTGTGTGTGTGTCTGTGTGTCTGTGTGTCTGTGTATGTACAGGGTCTCACTACTCAGCTCAGACTCATAGCAATCCTCCTGTTTTCACCTCCATAGTGCCAGAATTACACCCAGACTCCATTACCAGCTCAGTGTGCCCGAAGGGTGGGGCCACCGTGGCATGTGGTGCCAGGGATCGAACCCTGGCCCCTCCGCTTGCCTAAGCAAGTGCTTAGTCCACTGCGCTATCTCACCAGCCCAAGATGTTTTATTTTAAATGAATCTTACTAAATGAAGCTTGGGTTAATAAAACAACCTTATTACTCTTTATTTTTTCCTATCTTCATTGGACATGGGCAAGGTAATGAAGACTTGGCAAAATTAGCAGTCCGTAGTGGAGATACAAACATTTTGTTATTCTAAAATAAGTAGTCATCACCACAGTCATTACTGATATTTATTGAACACCTGATGCCTGCCTAGGATCCCAGTGGTATTATGGGCTGGGTTAAAATGACAGCTCAAGAATGATGATAATCCCTTAAGTTCCTGACTCACATCTTCATTTATAGTTTTTGAATCATTATCAATTTCTTTTTGCTAATGATAGAATTTTAGGCTGAAATATAATTGAATGTTTTCTATAAGCATACAGCAAGAAGGTAGCGAACTTGAGGTAGAACTCAAACGTTCTTTCTAGAGAATGATTTGTCTTCTCTTTCCCTTTTCTTCTTTGCCTCTCTCAGTATCTTTAGTGTATGAACAAATATTCATAAAACATTCAAATAATGTGGCATATGCACAGTAGTAAATAAACAAGTGTTACTATTTATCTCTTCACCTTGCTATTTCCCTTTTGCAAAGGGAACCCACATTATCTGTAATTTATTCTCTGGTAAATGCATACATAAAAAATATATTTTTTTTGTTTTTGGTATGTCTGATAATTTTGAGGGGTTTTTAATAAATGGGATCATACTATTTTGTTAATATGACTTGTTTACTTTAACATTGTCTTGGGTTTGTGTGTTTTGTGGTACTAGGGATTGAACTCAGGACCCTGGGCTTGCCAGGCAGGCCCTTATTCTGCTGAGCTATCTCCCCGGCCCTCTATTGAGTTCTGTTCATTCCTGTTACATAAATCTCTCATTGTACTAATTCCTGTATAAATGATTGTGTGGTTTACTATAATTATATGTGCCTCTACTGATACTCAGGTCAGTTTCAGATTTTCTTTATTATAGTGAATGTGAACATCCTTGTACTTTCCTCATGAGTGTGTGTGTGTGTGTGTGTGTGTGTGTGTGTGTGTGTGTTTCTGGCCAGCTTAGCCCACCCTGTGGGCAAGGCTGGCGCAGCATGTGGTGCCAGGAATAGAACCACAGTCCCTGCACTTGCCTAAACTTGCCTAAGCAGGCATGTTAGGCCACTGAGCTATCTTGCCAGCCCCCTCTTAAGTGTTTTCTGTTCATTTTAACTGCCTGTTGCCTCTCACACACATATACACAAATGATAATATAAGAAGAAGAAGTAAATAAAGGTAGTAGGTGTGTATATATGAAAAACATTTTTAATTCAGTTTAAAACTAAAATTTAAGGGGCCAGGAATATAGCTGAGTGGCACAGTGCCTGCCTGGCAGACACAAGACCACAAGTTCCGTGCCCTGTACCAAAAAATAAAATAGATTTTTAAAAAATAAAACAAAAATTATAGATTCTGCAGTACCCAAAGTTGATTGCTAATGGTTCATAGTTTTAAAATGAATTCCTTTATTCATATCATTTCAGACTCTAGCCCTTCTGGAAGAAGAGGAAGATATAAATCAAATCACAGATTACTTCTCTTATGAACATTTCTATGTTATTTACTGTAAGTTTTGGGAGCTAGACAGTGACCATGACCTGTACATCAGCCAAGGTGATCTCTCTCGGTATAATGACCAGGGTGAGTGGTTTTCGTAGATGCGAAGATTTAACTGAAGAATGACATAAATTATGTCTACTCATTATGAGAAATTCCCATTTCCTAAGTTAGATATCTAACCAGATCACTTTGCAAAGCTAAGAATTTTTAAGTGGGAATTAGCAAACATAATTCAACTTTTTTTATTTAGAGGGCAGATGTAGAAGGGATAGAGATGTAAGTAAGCAATCACAGTATTAGTTTTGAGGAAGCAGCATGTCTTTGTAGTGATTTTTTTTCTGTTAATTCATTTATTTATTTAATACAGGTTCTCACTACACAGTTCAGATTTGTAATAATCTCCTGTCTCTGCCTCCCCAGCATGGGATTACAGGCATATGCCACCATGCACAGTTTGGGGGCTGGCACCAGGCCTCAGGGTTCTGAGGCTGGCACGGCATGCAGTTCTGTGGCTCGAACTTGGGTCCTTACACTTGCCAGGCAGGCGCTTAGACCACTGAGCCATCTCCCCAGCCCTGTAGTGATTTTTATGATCATAAATTGAATAAGTTGTGCATATGTGTAAATCTATGAAAATATGCAAATGTACCTTTCATAGATTTTCTCATTTAACAGTATTTCCATAAAAAGCCATGAATGAAAATGTCTCTACCTTGCCAAGTTTTATTTTGAAGGATTCATTAATACTTACTTTTCTGGATTTAATTTCTGTCCTCAGAGAGCTAAAGAGAAGCAGTTCTGCTTTTTTTTTTTTTTTTTTTTTTTTTTTTTTTTTTTTTAGGAAAATAAAAATTACATAGCACATAGTATTATGCTTTTTACTTCGCTTTTGCCTATAGTAAATGTAGAGACTATTGCAAATTGATTTAATATTGTTAACCAGCCACCAAGATACATAAATTCATTCTACTGCCATAAGATTGTTCCTGTTCTATCCTTAAATGACTTCTCGGCATTTTAAAATTTAGACTTTATCTTTGCAAAGTGAAAATATTAAATGAATACACTGAATTTTGTTCCTGTTATGTTGTATATCTGTGACTGACATGTGTCTTAAGGAAAGGCTCCTTGTATGTGATATCAATTTCATCATAGAGATTTGCATATTTAAGAAATAGAGTTCACTCTCTCAAATTTGCAAGTGCCATGCAGACACTGAGGACAAATACTCAAATGTACTTACTTGATAAATATATTAGTATTTTCTCTCTTCTTCAAATGCTCATAATCTTTTCTTCACTAGAATAGCATAAAAATGTATATTCATAGAAGTATCAGGTCAGCCTTGTTAGTTATGCACCTTCCCATTACCCATGAACAGATCATCTGGACATGCACCAGTCAGTGCCCATGTCCCCCTCACACAGCCATGCTCTGGCCCCATGTTCATGGGAGGAAGTCCAGGGAAGCAAGTGTCCAGACCTGCATAAATTAAAGAGCCACTAAGCTCTATAAAATTATTACTTCACTAAATTGTGCTTAAAGATACAACATGGAATAACATGATCTTAAATTTTTAGAGGCTAAAAGCTCCCACATTTAAAAAATACCCCTTTAAAATGATGTTAGGTTTGGAATTAAAATACCCTGGCCTTTCCCATCTCAGGCCTTCTTTTTTTCTAGGTACTACAAATTAAACAGTTTAAAAAAAAAAAAAAAGTATGGAGCATCTGCACACTTTGGTGTGCAGCCAGAAATGGCTTTACACACACACATGTACGTACGTACGTACGTTCTTTTCTTCAGCCAAACTCATTATCCTTTATGTTCACTGTATGTAATGCGATGTAGAATTAGATGCTGCTATCTGCTGACTCCCTAATGACTTCACTGCTGGTCCGGAAATTGCAGTGTGTGTGTCACTGCCTGAGGTACTTTTTCAAGAACAGAACTTTTATCCATAGGCATCTCCTTTTTTTTTTTTTTTTTTTTTTTTTCTTTTTAAACTAATGCCTTTGGCTATTTTAAATCTACAGTGAGGTACACTGTGATTTTTTTATAGAATTTATCATTAAAAAAGAATATACTCTTTTAAGATATAGTTGTCTTTGTAAATAGAATTTACTGATGGAATTTTTATGTTTTATCTGGAACCATAAGACGGGAATAAGGAAAAGTAGGTTTGTAGTATGTTTTGGTATCTTTTCTAAAACTGCTTGAAAATATTCATTTTGCTTTGTTTCATTTTACATTGTTTTAAGAGCTGCATGGTCAGTTCTCTCTTGATTTTGGTATTATGCTGATATTTGTTTTGTTTCAGGGGAAATTTTGCCTTGTCTTATTGATTAACAATATAATCAACATAAACTCTACATTTTTTGTCTTAGTTATCAGTATGTTCAAAATAAACATAGAGCTCAACCATTTAAGTACAGATATCAGCACATTCATTTGCATGTTCTTTTTAAAATTACTTGAGAGATATGAAGCTGTTTATTCTAAAAAGTATAAATATTACATAATTAAGACCCACTCATAGTCTTGTCATAGGAGAATGTTATGTTTAGCTTGTAACAAATGAAAATAAATGTGCCAGAAGTACTGCCTGTAAGGAATTTTTGTAACTAGTAATTTCTTATTTGCATTTAGCTTCATCAAATAGAATAATTGAAAGGATATTCTCTGGGGCAGTAACAAGGTAAGAAAAACTTTAAAACCTGGTTTTAAAACGAACTGCAGTAATAGCTAAGTTGTTGAACAGCTCCATGGTTGAACTTTCCACTACTCAAACAGCAAAGTTTGAAAAAAAATCTGCTTGGTGTTCATAACTTTGTTCGGCAGTCAAACTGAAATACCAATTTGAAAAACCCTGTACAGCCAAGAGTGAGTCACACGTCACATACCTGGGCAGACACAATGGGTAACTAACGCTTTAGTCTAAGCGCTGCTCATGCCTAGACAGCATATATAGTGCTTGCATTAGTGCATTAAAACAAAGTCCTGGAAAAATGAATTTATAACTGCAATTTTTGGCCCTTAGAGCCAGTCATTTGGTTTTCTATTATTTCTTATGGAAAAATATGTTTAGTTCCTGAATTTTTTGGTGTTTGCTCACATATTCTGACAAAATTAGAATTATGTTGTGTTTGACAACGAGGATATCACTGTATAAGTGATTCCATAAATACTCCCATTTTAGCAAGCCTTTCTGCATAATTTGCAGCACTACTGGGTCAAATGACACCTTACAAAACATACAATTATAATTAATACAAGACTAATTCTTTAATGTCAGTATTTTATATGTCAATATAGAAAATAATGTTTGATCTCACTTTCAAAATTTTTTCTTCATATTTTCACATTTTCTTACATCACCTCATAGGCCTTTAAACTTAAGATAGGCCCAGAAGAGTTATCCCTTATGAAATTATCACACTTTCTGATTTCTTAAATTTTAAACTACACTTTTAAAACTAAATGTTACTTTATTTAGGAAATGTTGTAACCATGTGTTTTCTTCAGAGGAAAAACAGTGCAGAAAGAGGGAAGAATGAGCTATGCAGATTTTGTTTGGTTTTTAATATCTGAGGAAGACAAAAGGAACCCCACCAGGTAGGACTTCTCTGTTTTCTTTGCCAAAATGTTAAACACCTGACATGATATGTATGTAGTGAAACCAATTCAATGGAGGGATGCTAAGATAGGTTAGACCTACATGTGGTTTCTGTTTTCTCAGAGCTGTCAGTGTAGGAAAGGAAATGGCCCCAGAATCCAGTCATGGCCCATCAGAAGTGCTCTTCCCCACAGAAACACAGGTGAAGTGGCATGTAAGCCAGCCTGGAGGAAAAGTGGAGTTAGTAAACATTTATTCACAACGTGGAAATAGATAAGTGAATTTTAGTTCTCTTAGGATCCTAATGGTTCAGCAGTAAGTTGGAAAAGGAAAGAAAACTAAATTGTAGGTGACTAGTTTACAAAATTCTGTCCTTATTCCCTACTTTGAATCATCTGTCCCTTTCCTTGGCACTTTCAGAGCTACCTTGATTTTAGTTGTGAAATTTCATGTCTCCTTCTCTCCACTACTGGCTTGTATTAAGCCAAATCTCTAGGTCTCTCTCATCTTTTTATCCCTAGCTTGGGTAAAACAAAATTTCATGTATAGTTTATGCTCAGTATCAAAAGGAGGCAGGGAATGCAGTCCCGATGCTGCTAGCAGGTATACCTGACTCAGTTGGTTCCATATCATTATCTAAATGTTGTAGAAAGTTATCTAGATGTTGGGTTATTGTTCATAAATCATTGGGGAAGAAAGAAATAGCTATGATTTCTTAGAGCAAATTGTTACATTTTTAAGTTAGCATTCCCATTTCAAAGTAGAAATTTATTGTTTATTGTATGTAGCTTAGAAAATGTGGAAGAGCAGAAGAAAATACTTTTAGTACTACTAATTCTAATACCAAGAGAAGAAAAAACAACTTAAAACACCTGTTTTTGGAGAGAAGCAGTATTAGGACTTGAACTCAGGGGCCTTCTACCACTAAGCTACATCCCAGCCCCTTTTTGTTTTTTTGAGACAAGGTCTCAGTAGGTTGCACTGCTAGCAGGCCACAACCTTGCCATTCTCCAGCCTCAGTCTCCTGACTAGCTGGTATTACAGATATGTGTCAGTGCATCTGGCTTATATTAAATTTTAATTATCGTACACCAAAATCTTCACAAAATGTTCTTTTTTAAAAAATATCTTCTAATATTTAATATACTGTTTTTTTCTGAAGAATAAATTCCAAGAAAAAAAGGAATTGCTAGGTTAGAGGATAGACTTTTTTTGGTAGCACTGAAAATAAAACCAGGGCATCCTAAGCAAGCACTCTGTCACTGAACTACATTCCCAGACCTTTTTTATTATTTATTTATTTATTTATTTATTTATTTTGGCAGAACCGGGAATTGAACTCAGACCCTTGCACTTGCCAGGGAAGTGCTTATTCCACTGAGCCATCTCCCTGGCCCCTCCAGACCTTTTTTAAATTTTACTTTTGAGATGATAGTCTTGCTAAGTTGCCCAGGCTGAGCTCAAAATTGTGTTCCTCATGCCTCAGCCTCCCATGTAACTGGAATTATAGGCATGTTAACCACCAAACCTGGAAACACAGTAGATTCTGGAAAATATTGTATAGGGCTGGAAATATGACTCAGTGGTAAAGCTCTTGCCTTGCATGCATGAGCCCTCCACCCCGTTTAATCCTGAGCACCACAAAAAAAAAAAAGGAAAGAAAAACAAAAGAAGAGGAAAACAATACCTTATATAAAGGAAAAAGAAAAAGATACCAAAGAGAAGTATATATTGTATGAGTTTGTTTATAATTATGTACTGCATAATAACATTTCAGTCAATAGTGGGCCATGTAAATGATAGTGGCCCCATAAGATTGTTATCTAGTGACATGATAGTATTCTTAGCTTACATGTACACTCTAATGTTCACATAATACATTTGCTTAGTAACACATTTCCCAGAATAAATCTGTTAAGCAATGCATGACTATATGTGTATTGTCCAAAATAGGAATATTTATGGAAGTAGTCTGTGAAGGTGCCCATGGAGCAATAAGAAATGAGTGCTAATGAAATATTATTTGGAGTTGATGAAAGTATCTCAATATGAACTGTAGCGATGATTACACAATTCTGTGAATATACTAAAAAAAAACTGTGTGTTTTAAATTGAAGAATCATATATGTAAAATACATTTTAGTGAATTGGCTTTTTTGTTTTTTGTTTGTTTGTTTGTTTGTTTGTTTTGTTCTTTAGTGGCCAGCTCAGCCCACCTTGAGAGCAGAGCTGGTGTAGCATATGGTGCCAGGGATCAAAGAGAGGTCCCTGCACTTGCCTAAGCTGGCCTAAGCAGGTGCTTTAGACCGCTGAGCTGTCTCACCAATCCAGTAGAGTTGTTTTTAAAAACAAAAAATTAAAATAATAAAACTTATGTTCTCTAACCAAAATGGAATTAATATAGAAATCAGAGGGGCCGGGGAAATGGCTCAGTGGAATAAGCGCTTCCCTGGCAAGTGCAAGGGCCTGAGTTCAATCCCCGGTTCTGCACAAAAAAAAAAAAAGAAAAGAAAGAAAGAAAGAAAGAAAGAAAGAAAGAAAGAAAGAAAGAAAGAAATCAATCAGTAGGAGAAAGACAATTGGAAAATCTCCACCTACTCAGAAAATAAAAAACATACTCCTAAATAATCCACGATGCTGGGTATGGTGGCTAAGGCAGGAGGATCAGTGCAAGTCCAAGCCAGCCTGGGCTACAAAATGAGTTCAAGATCAGCCTAAACTGCTTAGTGAAAATGTCTTAAAAAGGCAAAAAAGAAAAAAAAAATCCATGAATTAGAAAAGATGACTCATAGGAATAATATAGTCAAAAGATAATAAAAATACTATAAATATAGTAAAATATATTAAAAATACTATAACATATATACATGTAAACATGATGTCTTAAATGAAATAGAACAATTTCCTTTAAATATCACCCATGAACTTAAAATTAAATTTGTAGTTTAAACCCTTCTGAAAAAGAAATATCCCAGTCCACATTATTTCATTGTATTCTTCTAATCATTTCAAGAAATAAGATGAAACTCTCATTTAAGAAAATTCTAGGGGCTGGAGAGATGGCTCAGTGGTCTAAAGCACCTACTTGGAACAAGCTTGGCAAAGCACAGGGACCGCAGTTCAATCCTCCAGTACCACATGCCAGCCAGCCCCGCCCACTGGTGGGCTGAGTTGGACACACACACACACACACACACACACACACAAAATGTAAAATAAATAAAATAAATTTAAAAAGGAAAATTCTATAGACAGAATTTTATAGAAATCAGATTTCTGGCTTATGAAAGACTTTAAGGAAAGGAGTTTTATGAAAGAATACACTCCTTCAAGTGTGATAAATACGTGGTGAAATACTGTGTACAGTTAAGATCTTGAGTCTTTCCTGTGCCTGGTCCCACCCAGCAGGGGTCGATACAAAAAAAAGAGTTTAGAGTTGTGGTTTTTCATGCACAGACTCTTAGCAAACCTTATTTCAGTATGTCCTATAAATTTCTGTTATGCTTTTTACTAAATCCTGTTTCTTGGCCTGAGTATCATCACCAGCAATTATTTCATTCACTTCTGTTATGTTTGAGGACAGGCCAGTGTCTATAAGACAGCACTGCTAAATGATCTATGCTTAATATACAAAGTAATAGACATTGCTTACTTCCTAAGCAATAATGGAGTTTTATATAACTGTCTTCTTGAATGGCCTATAAAATATACATCAGTGGGGCCAGGGAGATGACTCAATAGAATAAGTGCTTCCCTGGCAAGCACAAGGACCTGAGTTCAATTCCCCCATATATATATATATTCAGGGATTTTTTTTTTAAGTCCCTGGTCCAGACTTTAATTTCATGTAGCCTAAGAACAAAGGAAAGACATAATTTTGTTTGTGTCTACAATTGTATAAATACAATTACCATTGATAAGCCTATCCTCTGAAAATGACAGTAAATATAGCAAAAGTTGACATTGATTCTGTGGGGTAGTTATTTCTTCTACCATACACTATTATCTAATTTTCTTCTATTGAATACTCCTTATTTTTAGACTGAGATGTTAAGTTATCTTTGCTAAGGAAAAAAGTAGAAAATGTGCATTGGAAGAAACTTTAGAGAATATCCAGCACATAGAGTAAGAAAATTCCAGCCACGTGTGGTGGTGCACACGTGTGATCCTACCATTGGGGAGGCTGAGGCAGGAGGATCACCATGAGTTTAAGGCCTGCCTGGGATATGTAGTGATTTCAACTCCAGTCTAAATAGCAAAACTCTATCTAAACCACCACATCCATCTAAACATATCAGACATGTGTTTAACTGTCCAACCAGCCCGTGCTTCTAAATTGCCAGGGACTGATAACGACCCACTGAAGCAGCCTGTTATAGTTCCTGAGACCTACAGCAAAATCACCTCTCTTTTATACGTTGATCCTTATGCTCTGTCTCACAAAATTATATGTGATTCATCTACCACATCTTTCATATATTTAACGGCTGCTATCATGTGCCTTTGCAGACATCAGGCAGTGTGTCTACCTCTGCATTCTGGCTTTCTTTTTCCCTGTGTGCTCTTACAGAGAACTGAGTATGTGCTTCAGTTTGACTTACTGCATAGAGACTCACTTGTCTTAGTTCTTAATTGAAATGCAAATAGCTGATATTCTTCAGTTTCTGTTTCTTAATAAAATGAATTGCCTTTCACTTCAGTCCTGCTAGGTCCTTATCTAAATCAAGATTTGCTTTTTGTTTTATTTTCTTATGAATTTTTTTTCAAGGTATGTAGTACAGAGTCTACAGGGTCTTACTACACAGATCGGACTCATACTGATCTGCCTGTTTTCAGCCTCCCAAGAGCTGGGATTACTGGCGTGCACCACCACGCCATCTCAGTCGCCATCTCAGCGCGCCCTGGGGGCAAGACCAGCAAGGCTTGTGGTGCCGGGGATTGAACCCCAGAATCTGCACTCTGCCTAAGCAGGTGCTTTAGTCTGCTGAGCTATCTGGCCAGCCCTAGTTTTCTTAGGAATTTTAAGACAACAGGTAATTCACTAGATACTAATACATTTATTGAACTCTCAGCTTAAGAGATCTATTTTTTCAAGATTTTTCAAGCGCTTCCCTGGCAAGTGCAAGGGCCTGAGTTCAATCCCCGGTTCCACCAAAAAAAAAAAAGGAAAAAAAAAGATTTTTCACACGATCACGCATTGTTTCAAAGTGAGGCAATATATTGCTCCTTTTGTGAGGCAATATATTGCTCCTTTTGTGACTCTGAGAATAGATATGGTATGACTGGAGCACACCGTGACCCAACCATTATATCATATTGATTGAAGCCAATAATGTCCTTTCTCTTCCTTAATGGTAATAACATTAAACATCAACTTGGTACAGTTCATAAAACATATTCCTCAAACAAATTTTGTCAGTTAGTACATGCTATAAGTTGTTAAGATAATGTAAAATTTATCTTTCTCAGAAAAGGTACACAAAGACCTCAGTGTGACTTCCTTGCAGATAGTTACAATTTAGTTCTCTTCTTTCCCCAAACAAGACTTTGCAAAACTATAGAATGTATGGTGGTTCTTACCATGATTTCAGATCTTTTATGGTTATAAATACGGTTTTAGACCTATCAATATAAAATAAGCCAAATTGTACTCGACTCTGAAACAGTGACTTTTTAAAAACTGTCTTCCCTTTTGCCAGTGAGTACTCTTGGCTTCGCAGTCTGTGATTGATCATATAACTATAGAGGGTGCTCTAACCTGCTGTAATGACAAAGCAGCTACAATAAAGAATGATTAAGTTTCTGAGTGAAGGCTGCAATTTAACAACACATAGTATTTTTCTTTCCTCTTTAAAACCCTACTAAAATCAGGTTAAAATGTTTTTAAAAGGAAGAAACCTGTAGTAACAAAGTAGGTAAAGAGTTAAGGTTTGGAAACTGGAAATCAAATAAATTTAATAGGATGCCTGAATCCTAAGCTAGCAGAAAAATGAACAAGTAACCAGATATACTCAACAAAACCTCTAAACATTTAATACTTGGGAGGGTATCATGATCCTTAAAAATGGGAACAGGGTAAAGATGGTGACAACAAATGGGAAAGTTTATAAAAAAATTATTTAAAGAAACAGTTGATCTCCAGATCATATCCTCTACCCTGGCATAGAAACAGTGCTCTATTCCCTGGAGCACATTTGTATATTGAATCCAAACTTGAGGGTGGAGAATTTAAAAAGCAGAGGTTAACTTAGTTCACAGTTTTGGAGGTTAAAGGCATGACACTACTATAGCTCAGCTCAGATAAATACTTCATAGTGGATGTATCAGTGGTAGAAGCTCATGCAAGACGAAAAGATCAAGAGCTGGAGTATGGTGGCACATGCCTGAATCCCAGCACTAAAAGACGTTGAGACAGGAAGATCAAAATTCTGAGCTCAGCCTGAGAAATTTAGTGCCTTAACAAGACCTTGTCTAAAAATAAAAACAAACTGGTGATGTAGTTTAGTGCAAAGGATCTGCATCCATTCCCCAGTACTGTAAGAGGACAGTGGAGTGACAACATTGTGAGGCAGAACCAGCAGGGAAGATCAGGGAAGGTTCAGGCTTGCTCTTCTGTAACAAGCACGTTACCCTGAGAACAACCTTATTCTTTCTGAGTGCAGAGCCCCTAGTGACCCACCAGCTTCCCACTGGGCCCTACCTCTGAACAACACCACACTGGGGCCCACGCCTTCAACACATAAACCTTGGTTGGAAACGGGACATGGACAACACACACAAATTCTAGCAGATACCATGTTGAAAATAGGTTAGATTAGCATATACTAATGCTGAGATTCAAAAGCTTCATTTCTCACTCAAGTTACAGAATGTTGTCTCTGCCCTGAACCTCTAAGCAAGAGACTATAAAGGGTACCTTTCTGAGAATTCTAACTAGCTCAAGAATAAAGATACGAAAGTTTGACATTGGGTTATTCCCAGGGAGGAGCCCAGCCAGATCATTTCAAAGTAAATCGCAAAGTCAACAAACTCATAGATCAGAACATCATAACAGCTTTTAGCACCTATTTTTTTGTTTGTTTTTTGTACCAAGAATCAAATCAAGACCTCACACTTGCCATGCCAGCACTTTTGCTGCTAAGGCATATCCCCAGCCCTCCTATTCTTAAGCATTAGCAGAGAACAAAGGATCATTAGATACCTGAATAGAAAAGAGACCAAATGTGGGGAAACAAAGGTAACTAAGATGGAAGAGATTTTCAGAGAAAAACTTAGCAACAACAAAGATGCTGTTAATAATTACCTCTGAGGCATAAGAGAAGAAACTACATTCACAGAACATGAACAGAAAGTGTTTTTATAAAAGAAGCATTCAGGAACCCAAGAAAATAAGTCTGTAAAATAAACACTATAATACAGTAAAAGAAGACTGTGTATCAGAGCCTTTAAAAATAGGAATGAAAGGACTGGAGAGATAGCCTGGCAGTCTAAGCGCCTGCCCGGCAAGCACAAGGACCCAGGTTCAATCCTGTATACCACATGCCATGCCGGCCCTGCACCTGGGTACACTGAGCTGACCACTGAAACTGAGAGTGATGGCACATGCTTGTAACCCCAGGGCTGGGTAGACAGACAGGAGGATGACTACAAATCTGAGCTGCACAGCAAGACCTTGAAATAAATAAATATAAATAAATAAATAAATAAATAAATAAATAAATAAATTTTAAAACTAGGAAGGAAAAGACACCACCAACCTTTCAGTAGAAAGAAAACATGTTCAAGTTTCCAGGATCTGAACCTACTGCAGCATCATATACTTGTACTCCCAGCTATTTCAGAGGCTGGCGCAGGAAGATCACTTGAGCTAGTTGAGCAATACAATGAGATTTGTCTCCAAAAACAAAATCCCAGATCAAAATATTTGCCAACCAGGCTCCCTTTTTCAGGGAGCAGAATGGGTAGTGTGTGCCACATCAAACAAAGAAGTGAAGAATAAGGAATGTGAGGTACAACAATAGGAGAGAGCTGAAAGGGATCCTTAGGATGGAATTATTAACCAGACATAAGACTCTGAGCAGATGGACCATAGTAGAGTAGGTCAGAAGAAACAAAGGAAGACTTCAACAGGAAAATGCATTTACTAGAACTGACAAGACTGTGTGGACTTAGCCAACTGCAAATATTTGGTGGCTGAATTACTAACAAGTACAACAAGCATATGGAAAACTAAGCAAATAAGAGTTAAAAAGGTAAAATCATAAAATCGAAACACCGAACTGTTTATATTAAGACGATGGGAAGAGCATGCAGGCAAAGTGGATGAAAGTAGTAAAAGAGTTACAAGGTCATCTTTTCATAGTGTGAAACCTGTACAGAGTTCTTAAAAATAAAAGAAAGGATAAATAAAGGGATATGGCCTGAAAATATGAAAAGAAAAAGTAAAATAAGTGTTGAAAAGAGCTGATTCTAGAATGTGAAAATGAAGGGTGAAACTATGTCTTCTAAAGAAACATGGGCAGTGGCAGATCTGGAGGAATAAAGGACCTTCACCAAGACAGTGCTAATGAACATCTTGTCTTCTAGCATTGAGTACTGGTTCCGCTGCATGGATGTGGATGGAGATGGAGTACTCTCCATGTATGAGCTGGAGTACTTCTATGAGGAGCAGTGTGAACGGATGGAAGCTATGGGCATTGAGCCTTTGCCGTTTCATGATCTGCTGTGCCAGATGCTTGACTTGGTGAAGCCAGCCTGTGATGGTGAGAACAAATGGACAGCAATTTGCAGTTTCCACCTATGAAATACAGTGGGGCACATAATCCTAGATTGCCCTAAACCAGTTAACTTTCTGGAGTTTTTTTCTTTAGGCTTGCCAGTGCAAACATGTTTCTTCCCAGCTACTGATTTAAAACCAGCAGTGGTGGAAAAATGCTGTTGAAGAAACTCAGATTTTCTTTAAGACAAATTAGGGATTGCCAGGAGCTGGGGACTGAGGAGAATTAGGGTGAACAGCTTGATGGATATGGAGCTTCCTTTGAGGATAATAATCTTCATAATTAAATCATAGTAATATCTGTATGACATCAGAAGCATATTAAAAGCCACTGAGCTTTTAGTGGTGAATTAGCTTAAAATGGTAGTTTGTTTTTTTGTTTTTTTGAGACAGGGTCTCACTATGCAGTTCAAGCTGGCCTTAGGCTCACTTTGTAGCCCAGGCTGGTCTCAAACTCACAGAGATCCTCCTGGCTCACCCTCCTGAGTGAGGGTGATTGCAGGCATGCACCACCATACCTGGCTCCAGGGCCACATGGTGGGTGCCTGCATCTGGGGCCAAGACAGCACACCTGGGGAGCCTGGGCTGAGACCACACGGTGTGTGGGGCCAGGGATCGAACCCAGGTCCTTGTACTTGCCAGGTAGGTGCTTATGCCTCTGAGCTATATCTGTGGCCCCAAAATGGTGAATTTCAATTTAACTTTTACTGTGGGTATTTTTATTAATAAAATAAATATACACATGTACTTTTAGATGTCAGTGAAAGTTTTTTCTCTTGCCAAAATAGCTCTAAATAAAATTCATCAGGTGCATTTGTTTTTATATAGGCAAAATAACTCTGCGAGATCTGAAGAGGTGCCGAATGGCTCACATCTTCTATGACACTTTCTTTAATCTGGAAAAATACTTGGACCATGAACAGAGAGATCCCTTTGCAGTCCAGAAGGTACCAGGATAAGTGTTCATTTTTAGAACTGCAGTATCGGGCTGGGTAACACATTGAAATGTTATCTGGGAATGTTAGTATTTAAAGAGATAACATTTAAAATATTTCATCATATTCTGAAAAAAATTAAATAGAGATGCCCTAGGTTTGATCCAGAGAGAGAATGAAACAATGAATGAAATAGTAAGAGTAACAGCATCTGTCCTCACAGCTAATCTGCATAAGACTGAGTATTTTGTTAGGTGAGTTCTGTAGAATGTGTCATTACATACACACTCGAAACTTATTTCTAAGAAGTTTGTCCTTCACCAGCATGTCACGCACACCTGTCATCCCAGCACTTGAGAGGCTGAGGCAAGAGGATTACCATGACTTCAAGGCCAGCCCATGCTGTACATTACTTCAAAAAAATTGTCCTTTTAAAAATATATCAGGAGGCACAATGCATAATTGTGTTATGCATTTTAAGTATTCTACAGTAAATAGCTTTCCCTAGTAAAAACTAAAAGCTCCCCACAATAGACAATTTCAGGTAAAAGTATACTTTTTCACTTGTTAATGATTGCCATCCAAGAGCCTCAGTTTTAAATATTGTTCTACATCTGAATAGAGGTGGGCTCCCTTCCCCTTGCAAAAACTGGTAGACCTCAGAAACATAATTCATTTCCAGCCAGAAGCAGTGGCACACACCTGTAATCCCAGCACTCAGGAGACTGAGACAGGAAGATTGCCCAGAGTTCAAGGCAGACTAGGCTACATGGCGAGTTCAAGCCTGGTCTCAACTACAAAGAAAGATCCTGTCTCATAAAACCAAAAGTAAAACAATACAAATTAATAATCCATGTCCAAACCAAAAACAGTATTACTAATTTGCTCTTTCCATTCCCTGGTTTAAAAAGTAAAAATTATATCGATAGAAAAGGGCTGTTTCACTTGAGTGACAGTAAAACTTCAAGAAGCTTTTCTAGTTATTGTCTTTTTCTCACAGAATAAGAATGTAAAGGTAACTCTCCATAGAATAAATGCTCTGCAGCTGACCTTAAGAAATATCAAGGTGCGTTACTGCTGGATAAAGTCAACATTATATTTCACTAAAAAAAAATTGTGGTTTTTTGATATGTAGCATCTGTGTAGTTGGCCTTGAACTATGTGGGCCAGGCTGACCTCAAACTCACAGCTATCTCGCTGCCTCAGCCTCTTGAGTGCTGGGATTATAAATGTGTGCCCAACTACATTTCTTTGAAATCATCATTTTATATATCTAAGCAAATATGCACACATGCTGATTATAAGTCTGAAATACATGGCAATTTCTGGCTTATTAAAAGGTTAGAATGAAGAGGGTCTTAAAATTGATTAAATGTAGTAGGAAACGAAATGACCATCGTGTGGCCAATGATTAGCAACTTCTACTCTTCTAGGTATAACTGACCCTAAACCCTACGGTAATGCTCACTCATTCTCAACTTGGAAAGACATTTTGCCTGGAACATATAATCCAAGACACTGCCCATTGTTGAAATGAATAAAAATGTATAGCCTTTATCCCCTTCATTTACTTTGTGTTATACTTTTAATTTTTACTTTTTGAGTATCTTAATTACTTTTCTGTCACTGCTGTGACAAAACACCTGATGCCCAGAATTAAGGAAGGGAAGGTTTATTTCGCTCACAGCTGGTGGAGGTTTAGTCCATACTTGGCTGGGTGGCATGGCACAGGGGCAACACTTCAGGTCAGCAGAAGACAGCAAGGTAACAAAAGAAAAAGCGGAAAGGAAGCGAGCCTCTTTTTGTCTCTTATATTGTATGTAGACTACTCACCCACACCATCTGCCTGCCTTCCTCTTGCACAGGCTCAGGATATTTACAAAGTAAGGACCCTGGCCACTGCTAAGTCACTTAGTGAATCTTCTAATCTTCTCAGGTTGACCCTATGAACTATAACAGTCCACCACTTGTCAGCTTGGCAACCAGATACATTTGTTTAAACCAGTTTCCAGATACAAAGACATTTATTCTTATCATTTCACAACTTGAACACTAACACAAGTGTACCTTAACTTTATATGACATTAAAACCGTAACATTCTGCTCCAAGCCCCCCCCAAACTCATGTACATCCCTTTATGCAAAAGTCATTTTAGTCATCTCCAAGAGTGGCCAGAGTCCTAACAGTTTCAGCATTGCTGAAAAGTCAAAGTCTCCTCTTGAGATATAAGGCAAACTCTTAGCTGCAAGCCACATACAAATGAAAAGTTAAACACTTCCAACATTCAGTGGCACAATATAAATGTTTTTATTCCAAAAGTTACAAACAGGGAATGGGACCAAAGTAAGTCCACACCCAGGAAAGCAAACATTATGTCTTGTAATTCTGTTTAGCATTTGAGGCAGTCTCGCAAATTGTAAGCTCCACTGGGCTTAAGTGATTCCACTCCTATGACACTTGTGGTTGTAGCTCCCACAGCTTCTCTATTGAGCTAGGTTTGCCTCCTTCCTTAGACCATCCACGTTCCTGGCTTTTCTGTACTTTTTGGGTCTCCACTGCACCACATACTGCCCTCTCAGAGGCACACTGTCTGGCCCCCAGGCCTTCTTAAATCAGATGGAAGCCCTTTTAACCCCATCACTGTTGCACTCTGCACTAACACCACATGGATGATGCTTAAGTCCACTGCCACCTGAAGCAGTAGCCGTCCCTCTCTCTCCGCTGTAGGGGTCAAGTGCCTGGATCACTGGGCACTCTGAATCCAATACTGAGGAACAGAGTTTCTGTGCTGCCACCATTCTGGAGCATGTTGCTCTGTAGCTTTTTCCTCAAAGCAAAGTCTTCACTTCTACAGTTTTGAGACTGCAAAGGGTGGAAACTTGCTCTACTTGTGATGCGCCCAGGCCATCTTTTCTATTCTCCTGTTCTTTCTCAGCAATGAAGATTTCCTCAGCTCTTTCTTTGTAGTACACAGCTTTACCGGAGTTTTCTTTCCGGCTAGACTCATGGTGTTTTAAATCATCATACAGGGCTCTTTGCTCTTGAGTCTCAATGTAGATCTTGCTAAAAGCCCCCAACAGTAGCAAGGCTACTATCTCAACATTTCACTGGTTGGAAATTTCTTTTGTCAGATTAATTAGTCCATCACCCTTAATCTCAGTCTCAGGCAGAGTCTCTGGACACAGCAAAATGCAGACAAACTTTCTGCCAAGCCATAACATACATCATATGGATTCCAGCAACCAGTGTAGTCTTTCCAACAGAAACCTCCCAAGCCTGTCTTTTACCAGTTTTCTGGTCTTCTGAGCTCCCATACAGAGCATCAACAGTGTTATAGCTCTGTCCTTTCAGTAGATATCTCCAAACCTTTTCTAACTCTTCCCACAAGCCATTCCCAAAGGCTTTTTAATCACATGGTCAGGTATAGTAACAGCAACAGCCCCACTCCTGGTAGCAAAATTCTGTCTTGATTACTTTTCTTTTTTAGCTGAAACAAAGTGCCTGACACTCAGAATTAAGGAAGAAAAGTTTTATTTAGCTCACAGTTTGTGGATGTTTCAGTCCATACTCAGCTGGTTTCAAGGCTGGGTGGCATGGCACAGGACCAACAGTTTAAGACAGCAAAGCAACAAGAGCAAAATGGGGAAGAAGCAAGCCTCTTTTAGTCCTCTCTTATACTGTATGCAGGCTACCTGCCCACACAATCTTCCTACCTTCCTCTTGCATTGGCTCAGGATCTTTACAAAGTGAGCACCCAGACTCCCTACTGAGTCACTTTGTTAACCTTCTAAACTTCTCAAATTAACACAGTGTATCAACCATAACAGTGAGGTAGCAGTTATCTATCTTTGTTCACACATGTGAAGAATATTATAAGTCAGAAAGTGCTCAATTCTCAGAACTGTGTTGAAGAGGTACTGAATGTATGGAAATGACAGAAGAACAAAAGGCAACAACCAGAGCATATAGAGAGAAGGAAATGATTTGGGCAAAGACAGGCCATGTGCAGGAAGATATCACAGATGATATGGCATCAGAGGTAGCTTTTAAAGAAATAGTACAAATTTGCTAGAGAAAAGGGTGACACATTTTGGGTAAGTACAGACCAGTCATTCCAGATTGCTGCTTTATAAAGTGCTGGGGAGAAGGAACTGGAAAAGGTCTCATAGCAAGTCCAAAGAATCTAGTCATAGGCTGGGCATGGTGGAATACAGCCATAATCCTACCACTCTAGGAGGCTACGGCACAAAGATTGCAAATTTAGGACAGATAAGTCATCTTAGCAAGTTAGCAAGACCCTGTCTCAAAATTAAAAAGGGGGCTGGTGAAACAGCTCAGTGCAAAGACCAAAAATAAATTCAGTCCTCAGGTTAAAGAATAAAAAAACAACTCTGGACTTACATCCAGGTGCAGTGGTGCACAATTATAATTACGGGATTTTAGGAGACTGAGGCAGGATCACAAGTTCAAATCTCACCTAGACAATTTAGCAAACCTCTGTCTCAAAATAAAAAAAATAAAATAAAAATAAGAAAGGGGGTTAGGAATAAAGCTAAATGGTAAAGAACCTCTGGTTTTGATCCCCAGTTCCAAAAAAAAGCCTCTGGATATATGAAAAATCTAGCTGCAGAACACTTTATTATAATGTGATTTGAAGTATAGGAAATCACCCATAGGAGTGAATCTTAACACTTCTTTTTTTTTTTTTTTTTTTCAATTAAAAAAAAAAGTATATATTTAGAATTAGCCAGCTGGACTGTTTAGATGACCCCAATTTTGTTCCCAATATCCAATGCATTATAATTAGGAGCCAGTCAAACAGATGCCTTCTTCTCTCCATCAGGCCTGATCAGGGTATTGAGCTTGGCAACATCGATGTCATAGAGCTTCTTTACAGCTTGTTTGATTTGGTGCTTATTGGCTTTGACATGGACAGTGAACACGAGTGTGTTTTTGTCCTCCATCTTTCATGGCTGACTCTGTGGTCAGGGGGAACTTGATAATGGCATAGTGGTCAAGCTTGTTTCCCCTGGGGACACTGTTCCAAGGGTATTTGGGCTGTCTCTGGAGCCACAGTGTCTTGGGACAGTGGAAGGTCGGTGATGTTCATATCTTCTTTTTGTGGCTGTGGGTGCCTTTCAGCATGGCCTTCTTGGCCTTCAGAGCTCTTGCTTTGGCTTCAGCTTTGGGAGGAGGCTTCCTTCTCTGCCTTTGGCACCTTCTTGATAAAAAGCTCTTAACACTTCTTTTAACACATTGAAACACTTTCAAATAGGTTTTTTAACAATATACGTTTATGATGACCTACTCAGGTTCTGTATTTGCTGATTTGTTTCCTCTTTCTAATCAGGACGTTGAGAACGATGGGCCGGAGCCCTCAGACTGGGACAGGTTTGCTGCTGAGGAGTACGAGACTCTTGTCGCAGAGGAATCTGCCCAAGCACAGTTCCAGGAAGGGTGAGTGAGTACCCTGTGGCTTGCTGACCTTTTTACCAGGTGTGCCTGTCAGTAGTACGAAGACCACCTTTATAATGCCTATTTTTTCCACTTTTGAAATCATAAGAGTTAACTGTTAATTAAGTGAATGCTCCTCCTAACAATTTTCTTCCCCCTTCCTCACCAGCTTCCTGACAGTCTTCTCACATCCCATTTCCTTTTCTAAGTCATATCTTTATGGAAACCAGGATCCAAGAGCAGTCATACTTCTACTTTAGTGATAACAGTAAACCCTACAGATAAGGAACTGAAACTCCTTTCAGTAATAAAATGATCATGTTTAACATAAATTTTTATCATGCATAGTTTGTATATACAACCCTGAATAAGAAGTAACTCCATGTAATTTATACTAGAAAGAAAAATTCCAGGGGTTGGGGAGATGGGTTAGTGGAATAAGCGCTTCCCTGGCAAGTACAAGGCCTGAGTTCAGTCCCCAGTTCTGCCAAAAAAAAAAAGAAAAGAAAGAAAAATTCCATAAAGGGATCATATTAAGAAATTAAATTATGTGAGAATATTACCAGTTGGCACTTCAGCAATTTTATAATTTGTTGGCTTTCTCTAGTGACTCCTTTAGCAACTCCTCTATTCCTTTCTCCTTGTTTAACCCTTTACCATGGATGTAACACATTCAGATGACAATACATTCATATGACCCAGGAAAAAAATTATAAAAAGTTTCCTACTAACCAGTTTGCAGAAGCAGCCAATATTATTGTCTTGTGTGCCTTTACAAAAACTAACTTTCTGTGTATATTTTTCTTACTGAAATGGAGCACACAGTATTCATTGTTTGGTTCCCCGTTTTTCACACACTTAATATGCTTGAGATTATCCCATAGATATATCTAACGACTTTTTTTTTTTTTTTTTTTTTTTTTGGAACCAGGGATTGAACTCAGGCCCTTGTGCTTGCCAGGCAAGTGCTTATTCTACTGAGCCATCTCCCTGGCCCCCATGACTCATTTTCTATACCAACATAATCTACTATATAGTCATTGTTACTTTGCAGTCATTGCCAACATTTCATGTATACTAGAAATTACACTGTTGCAACAGATCCTATATACTGTCTACAGACTTCATTTCTAGAACTTAAGCAGATAAGCAACCTCAAACTAGATCTAAAGAGTTGCAACGACATGCAAGTTTCAGAAAATCCAAGCAGTGATGCATACACCCAGAACAAGCAATAGTAAGGTGCCATTTCCATGCCTAAGCCTAGTGGGACAAGAAGAAACCATCAGCAGAACCGAGGGACAACAGCTGTATAGAAAGGGGTACCTGGTAGGACCTGTGATGTTCACTGACGATGGAAGTTTACTAACTCAACAACTAACTTGAGGGAGCCACTAGTGAATATGCTGAACTTCATTATCTTCCTATCTTTCAGTAGCCTGCTGATGGCTCCCTTTGGCCTCAGTAAGAAACAAGAAGACAAAGGAAGTCCCTGCTTGGTTCATTCACATCAGCCTCCAACATGGGCAAAGAGCTAGGAGAAGAGTAGATCTGGAGGGATAAATAGGAAATAGCAGGCCTAGTAGATAATGTGCAGTAATCCTGCATGTAGTCTGTAGCATGACATCTTTAATGTTTGTTCGATTGTTTGTTTTTGAGACAGTCTCACTCAATGGTAGAGCAACCCTGCATTTGATGCCTAGTATTACGAGAGAGAGAGAGAGAGAGAGAGAGAGAGAGAGAGAGAGAGAGAGAGAGAATGTGTGTGTGTGCATGTGTGCGTGTGTGTGTGGAGGGCAGAGGGGCAGGCCATGCAAGTATTGCAATCATTTTGTGAATGCATATTTTTTTACTTCCATTCACCTTCCCCTCAAAAAACTAGGAACAAAGAAAATGGTTTTGAAGCATCAAGTAAAAGCCAGTTGTAGTGTCACATACCTGTTAGACCAGCACTTAAGAACAGGATCATGAATTTGAGGTTATAGGGTATATAGAGAGGCTGAGGCCAGCCTGAAGTCGTGAAAGTACCTCAAAACAGCAAGGGGAAGGGACAGATGGATGAGCTGACAGATGGAAGGAAGAAAATAGATTAAGTGTAATATAATCAGAGGGGGAAAAGTAGCCATTAGTATATGTGAGGAAAATATAAGGAATCTAACTTGTATGTACTAGGCAGTGGAACAAATGAAATAAATATAGATATTGATATTATATGCAAAGATAATGGAAAGGCTTCTTATGAAATAAAAGACCTAAATATCAAAGGTTAGAAGTCACATATAGGGCCTGCCAAATAGCTTAGTAAATTAAAGCACCTGCAAGCAAGCGCAGGGGCCGGGGCTTCAATCCCCGGGCCAGTCATGCCGGCCCACCCCTGGAGCAGGCTGAGACTGGGCGTGGTGGCACGTGCCTGTAATCCCAGCACTTGGGAGGCTATAAACAGGAGAATCACTACGAGTCCGATCTAGTAGTGAGACCCTGAACACCCTGTAGACCCTTCCCTAAAATACAAAAAAAAGTCACATATATTCAAGAACAACTGATAGTAATTGAACCCCAAAGTGCAAGGTCAATCACCAGTACCACAAAAAAAAAAAAAAAAAAAAATTGAACTCCACTGTTTATTGGGAATTTACTAAAATTCAAAGCTGGAAAGTTTATTTTGTTTTTATTTTCCATTTTTAAAAAAACCTAAGTTATAGAACAGAGAAAAATCAGCTTTGCCTCAGATATCTCTATGTAAAATTAAATACTGAAAGACTATGAAATGATTACAACTTTCTCAAATTGTTTTTTAATTTTTTATTATTTTAGCTGTATAGTTATTTTAGTTTATTAGTATAGTACGTGGTGATGTAGTACATGTTTACATTCCTTCTGAAAAGTTAGTACATGTATATAACACATCTTAATTCCTTTTTTGTCCCCTTTCAATTTCTCCCTCCTCCTTCACCCATCCCTTAATCCCTGTTTTGTTGGGAGGGGTAGTTTTGTTTGTGTTGGTAACTTTTTGGTATAGGTTCACAGTACATAAGGTTTCCATTCCCTGTGTGGAGTTGGTCCATATACATAGCACATTTCAGTTCCTCTTTTGCATCCCTTACCCCTTGCCTCCCTCCATCTCTTGATTCTCTTGCCTGCTAAGAACAATCTCCCTATTTCCTGTTATAGGTCTTCTATTTTGCTCTTTATTTTTACTCTATGTTTCTTATATAAGAGAAAAAAATGTAAATTTAATCTTATGTGTCTGATCTGTTTCACTTAACATTATGGTCTTAAGGTATATCCATTTTCCTACAAATGACTCAGTTCTATCCTTCATGGCAAAGTAAGACTCCATGATGTGTAAAAACTGTCTTTTCTTTACCATTTATCTATTCATGGCTATATGAACTGCATCCAAGATTCAGCTATTATGAATGGTGCTGTTATAAACATAGATATACATGTATCTCTATAATATGTCTTTAGGAAGATACCTGGAAGATGAATTGACTAGGTCCAATGGAATTTTTGGTTTTAGTTTTTTGAAGACTCTTCAAACTGATTTCCTAGATAGTTGTACTAGTTTTACATTCCCACCAACAGTGTGAAAGGGTTTCTTTTTCCATACAGCCTTGCCAGTATTTATTATTTGATTTCTTGATAATAGCCATCTTTGTGAATTAAAATGGAATCTCAGTGTTAATTTGCATTTCTCTAATGGCCAGTGATACTGAATATTTTATCATGTATTTACTGACCATTTATACTTCCTCTGTGAAATGTCTGTTTATTTCACTTGTCCTTTTTTTACTTGCTCTGGTTTTGATTGAAGGAGTCTGAAATTTTTTAGATCTTTATATGTTCTAGATATAAATCCTCTGAGGAATTTCTGGCAATTTTTTTCCTATTTTATAGGTTGTCATTTCACTCTGCTGGTTGTTTCTTTTTCTGTGAAGTTTTTTTATTTGATATGATCCTACTTGTTAATTTTTAAAACTATTTCCTATACAACCACATTGCTATTCTGAAAGCCCTAGCCTTGTCTATGCTTTCAAACTTTTTACCTATCTTGTCTTCCAGCAGGTTGCTTCTGGTTTAAATTAGTTAAGTACATGGTGAGAGATACAGGTCTAGATTCAGTACTCTGCATGTGAATGGCCTGTTTTCCCAACACCATTTATTAGAGGCTATCTTTCCTGTAGTTTGTGTTTTTGGCTGCTCTGTCAAAGATCAAATAGTTGAATATACTTAGAGTTGTTTGCACATCCTTGATTCTGTTCCATTCATTCCCTTGTCTATCTTTGTGCCAATATTTATCACAGTAGCTTTGTAATGTAGCTTCAAGCCTGGGATTGCGATTCCTCCCACTTGCTCTTTTTTACCCAAGATTGATTTTGCTATTCAGGGTCTCTCCTTATTCCATATGTGTTTTAGAACTGTTTTTTCCAGTTGAAAGTCTGGCCATTTTGACCTATGAAAGAACAGGCAATGTCTTTCTATTGTCTGATGTCCTCTTCAAAATTCCTTTTACTGAGTACTATAGTTTCTCTTGTAGAGTTCTCTTACTTCCCTACTTATATTAATTCCTAACTATTTTTCTTCCTGCTATTGTGCAGGGTGTTTTTTCTCTAATTTCTTTTTGAGCGGGTTATTAGTATATAGGAATGTTAATGATTTTTTTGTGTTGATTTTAAATCCTGCCACATTACTGGATTTGGTTATTAATTCTAAGAGGCTTTTAGTGGATTATTTCTATGGATTTTATCTCTCCTATGTAGAGAACAATGTTATCTGCAAATAGTGATAATTTTACTTTTTCCTTTCTTATACACATTCCTTTTATTACATTTTCTTGCCTAATTGGTTTTGCTAACCTTTCAAATATGTCCTGTGTTGAAAAGGAATAGTGACAGAGGACATTCTTATATTGTTTGATTTTTTTTAGAAGGAAAGCTTTCAGTTTTTCCCCATTTAATATGCTAGTAGATTTTGTCATAAATGGCTTTTATCAGATTGAA